CGGGATGGGATGGGTTGAGGGTGTGCAGAAGCGCGGGACGGAGTGGAGGGATCAGGTGTGCGCTTAGCGAAGTCGACCGGCGAAAAAGAAGGGTCGGGAAATCTGGTGGGTGGGGGAAAGAAGAGGGAAGGGGAACAAGGGTCAGGGTCGTCGCGGCACAGGCGTCGTGTACTGCGTACATACGGTACTCTGTACCTGGCCTGGCACTCCTTTGGCGAGATACGCCGTTGCAGCAGCGATTGGAAGTGGTCCAAGTCGACGGCCAACGACCAACTCGACGACGTGCTTGGCGACCTGGAGACTCGACTGACTGGGCCACTTGTTGGGCTTCATGGGTTTGGAGAGATGAGCAGGTCCAACGAGGACCAGGTCCGGTATCCGTAGCGGCAGGGAAGGAGACGGTAACGGGGGACGGGCGGGCACAGAAGCGATGGGTATGGTATGGTAAAAGTTGTGGGAATTTGGGCCCTCCGGAACGGCCATGGGACTTTCTTGCAAAGCAGCGACGACGAAGAAGATGGGTAATGGGTAACGACGGGTGACGGATGAGTCCCGACCCCGGCATACCGCCTGTGGCGACCAGGGGCCCGGGGAGGGAGGGGAGATGGGAGAATGAGCAGATCCCCAAAGTAGATCTCCTCTCGCTTGTGAGGACGCACCGTACCGTATCGAAACCACCCTTCACCTCGGTCTCGAAGCCCTTGAGAAGAAGTGGTGCGCGGTCAGGGTGAAGGAACTTACGCGGCGGCCGTCTTGAGTTTCCCCCCGAAAGCTCCAATCGAGAGGGGGGCCGGGGCCGAGGCCGAGGCATTGGTGAGAAAGGAGAGACAACAGGTCTAAGCTAGCTATGGCGGGGACCTTTTCTTGGGTACAGCCATGTTTTGGAAAAGAGGCACAGAGAGTACCAGAAACAGGAACGCGCATGTCTGCTCTGCACGTACTGTAGCTGTAGCGGACAAGACGCACGACGCAAAGATGGGACGAGAACAACCCCCACAAGAAAGTATGTTCGTCCTGGACTCCTGGGTTGGGTTGCCAGGGATCGATCGCATTACTCCTTCTCAAAAGCCGCGGTTCCACCTCCAATCTTGCGTGCACGCATGTCGATACCTTAGCTCATGCCGTGTTGTATGAGATTCTTAGCGTGAGTGGATAACGTCGAACGGACACGGCGGGAACGAAGCTGCTGTTGAACTATCTCCAAGGAACTGGGGTTTCGTGTCCGTTCTGCCGGGCGATATCTGGCGTCAGTCATCTGCAGTAGTAATCGAGCCTCATTATAAGGTACGGACGGATAGAGGTGCTACCGAATTAAAGGTAGCAGTGCTGGGCCGGTTTCTTAGGTTCTTTGGTTCGCGGCCGGCCGTTTGTTAGTTCGGGGCCGCCAAACCTCGAGCCAACAGGTTTCTGGCCTCGTTGTTTTGGCCCCAGGAACGAGACTAGACGAATCAAACGACAGCCCAGGGGGCGGGAGGCGGTCAGATTAGATGAGGCCCTCTCTGCTGCTGGCTGCTGGCTGCTGGGTGCTTGCTGCCCCAGGGTCCCGGGGCGGACGAAATGGAATTAGTTTCGTGTCGTTCTTCTGGTTTGACAGCACGGCACTTGTAGATTGACTGAGAAGGCGGCAGGGACGAACTGCACGGCGGACCTTGTCCGGAACGTCCGTAGCGTAGGTTCATACCGCATTCTCCACGTGCCCATGATTCGATCGTGCGTGCAGGCGAGGGAAAAAGAAAGAGGGTTTAAAAAAAGGCCAACTGGGGCCCGGGTCAGTTCATCTATGTCAGGCTGGAGAAGCGCCATGCTCGTCAATGCCGTGTGCGGTGCGTGAGCGAGTGACTCTGTGCCGCAGTAGGGAAGTACTCGTAGGGAAGACGGAAAGACGAAGAGTGTGGCCAACGGCGAAGGCGTCAGGGCCAAGCCAAGGGCTCCTTGTCCAGCTAGCCGTTGCTGCAAGAAATGGACAGGTACGTATCTCGTGGTCTTGCCAAGTTGCGAAGCACCTGCATTTGAGGAAAGAAGCAAGCACAAGCAGGCAGGCACGCAAGCTGGGAACAGCTCAGCAGGCCCCGACTTCCCAAGAAGACAAGACTGATCTGAGGAGAGCTAAGAAAGCTAAGCAGCGTTGCAACGGACGATGCTGGGTAAGGTAGCTACGAATAGCGAGCTGGAGGAGTACGGATAAGTTACTCCTACCTTCCATAGGTACCTTGGGTAGCTTCTTACACTTTGACTTTGGTCTTGGTTGGGAAGTTGGAAAGCTGCCCGAAAGAGCCGTAGGCTGAAGACGACACCGCACCTTCCTCAAGCCATCCTCGGTGGAGTCGGGTGCAGCTGACCCGGACCTTACCTCTCTCACCCTCTGCCTCTCAACCTTTACCCTGCCATCACAAGAGTCGATACCACCTATCCTGAGCTGTCCTAGCGAGAGAAGCTGTGGACGCCTTTCCGGCCGCCTTACCACACGGTTTCCGAGCTGCCATGGAGTGCTACGCTGCCCAAGCTAGCCCCGAAGAGGAACGAAGCGCCCCCCGTCGCGTTCTCGAAGCTGTCCCCCATGCCGAGCTACGAATCCGACGTACGTCCCATTCCCCTCCGCCTCAGGAAATATCCACGCTGGCCGTGTTTCAGCATCTCACCTACCAAAAATGCTACGTCATTCCGATGCGGTGACGGAATTGGGGGGAACCAAGAACGAGTGCCGAAATTAGACGTCAGTCCTGGCGTGAGGTCATTTTCAAGCTTGCTTGCTCTACGCACTTTGTTTTCCGAGTCCAAGGTCTGGATGGGCGCAAAAGGAGGAGCCGTCAAGTTATGCATCTTTGACGATTCATGTGTAGGCAGCCGCCAGCCCGCCCGCCCCAGGCAGCTCTTGTCATTGTGGTACAGGCAAAAAGGCTAACTTTGCCAATCTGCTGCCGCTCCGGAGGGGTCAGCAAAGAGGGACGGAGCTCGGAAGCAAGGAGCGTGGTCGACCGAGCCTAGAAGACGAGAAAGAGGCAATGGAATGGGAGATCTCTCTCTCTGTCTCCTCAGCAAAATGCACCACCGACACGACGAACCAGAGACGATGCTTCGGGGTGGAGGACACACATGACACGCCCCCAGTTCTCATTTTCACTTGCTCGCTCACTGCTCGAGGTCCATCACAGGGGGGCGTGGCAGTAAATTCGCGCTGGGCTGCACTGCACTGCAATCTGCACGCTACACGATGCCTCTGCTGTTGCTCCTTCATGAACGGAGACAGCAGCCAGCAGCACAGCTGCCGCCAAATGTCCGTGCTCAGATTTGGCCGTAGAAGCCTTCCATCTGGCATGCTCCGGGGGACAGGGATGGGCGCCAGAGTTTCATCCTGGGCGGGGGTTTTGCCGACTGTGTTGGGCGGGAGCAGCAGAGCAAATCGCGAAAGGGTATCTCCTCGTTCGTCATCCAGGGGTAAACGGGCAATCGTGGTGGTAATGGTAATGGGTGGCTCCATCAGGCCAGCCGCTGCCACTGGCCGGCCACAGACACCGACACCGCCAGGCCGGCCTTCTTCTTGTTGTTGTTGCCGCTGCTGCTGCTGTCCCCCGGTATGATGAGCAAAGGGAGATGGGCATGGGAACGGGGTGGATGCGGTCGCCTCCTCCGCGGACCTTCAAGGGCCAGGGGCGGGCGGGTGATGAGCAGATGAGCAGATGAGCAGCAGCGAGCATCAGCGCAAAGACCGTCCATACGTACCGGCAAGGTCAACACACGGCAGAGGAGAGACACTCGCAAGACAACACCAGACGAGACCACCCGTGGTGCAGCGCAAGCGAGGGACATACATGGCTGGCGTTGGTGGCCTTGGGAATTTTACCAGTGCCGGAGCCACGGATGGCCTGCGACGGAGTGCTTTCCATGCCTACATACATACAGCCACCCGGCACTGGGCCGCAGGAAAGCTAATCCCGTCCATCTATCCCGCACCCAAAATGTAGAATATCTGTAAGGATGGCCCGAAGCAAGACACATCCAAGACACCGCGTGGGCGTGGAAGTCGCCAGCAGCGAGAGGAAGTCGTCGCTACATGTCGCCGCACGCGATGATGAGGTGAAAAAAAGTACTTTGTTACCGTCCAGAGTTACATCCATCCAGCGAGCAAGGGGGGTGGTGGGGAGGCTCTCCCGCGGTCTGGCCTGATGGCAGACGGACGACGCAATTGGGGGATCGAGAGTCAACGATGCCGTTGTGTTGCTTTTTTGCAAATCTCATGACGATCGGTCCTTTCACGCCCTCCTGATACCCGTGCCTCGCAGACCGCTCACCGGGGGGTGGTCCGGAGCCTGGGATGGGGGGGATGGATGAGGGATGAGGGATCCCCGTCCCCTCCTCTCTCTCGTCATCGGGATGCAAACCGACGGCCTGGCCAAACAGCAAACGTGGGCGCTGTCTGGCCGGCAGTGGATCGCGTCGTGCGGTGGCCGGGTCCTCCAATTTCGCGCGCGCAGAAGAAGGTGGGAAATGCACCTCCGCGACGGCCGGCCGGGGGATACGCAGTAGATGGGGTCGGGGACCCAACGGTTCAACGTCCAGCCAGTGACGACGACACGCGCCGCCCGTGGAGAGCGTTGCTGCAGCTGCAGGTGCCGTCAACGTCAAAGCGATATAGCCGAGGAGAGAACATAAGACGACAAGACAGATTTGACAGGAGATGGGCGCCTGCGTTTCCAAACTTTGCTCAATTGTTGGATTGCGGGTGCGGGACGAGGTTACGTCTGGTGTGGTGGCCTGGTGCCATGCCTGTGTTGATCCCAAGGGCAAAGTCGAGATGAGAGGAACGGGTGATGGGCGTCAGGTATCAGGCGCACATCAATGATCAGGCCCATCCATGAGACACGGGCGCGCGGGTGGGAACCTTTTGGATGATGGACTGCACTAAGAGGTGGAAGACGGTTCGCGGACGCCACATCCGTCAATGCAAGCAGGCAAGCTTGGTGCTGGTGCTTGCTTGACATTGACGTTGACATGACATTGGCATGCTTGCTTCTTTGCTTCTTGCTCGGACTCTGCTTGCCTTCGCCTCGGCTTGCTTGCGGCTGCTGTTTGGTGTTGCCATTGTTACTGTTGCTGCTGCGGCTACTGCCATCACCTCCAGTCAGTCCGCTCAGCTCGCATCTCGCATACTTACCGAGGAGTACAGCAGAAACAGAGACATACATGGCCGGGAACCAGGGACCTCAAAGAAACTCGATCGGGTCACCGTTGATCCTAGATTACCTGCGAGTGCGGGCACATCACGCCCTCTGCAGACGCTGCACTTGCTGCTGCAGCGCGTCCCCGTCACAAACCAAACCTCCACCAACAACAGCAAGATGCCAAGAAACAACAACCTGGGCTCGAGGTACCTCGGCGTCCCGACAGCAGGCAAGTCGGCGAGCGTTGCAAGGCCATTCGCGCGGGCTACCCGAAGTCCCGCTACAAAGCCTCAAGGTACCTGAATCGAGCCTCTCTGAGCACTGAGCAGGCGCAAGGAACAAGAAAAGAAAAGAAAACGACGTGTGGAGTGAAAAGGAAAACAGCGCCAAATCTGCCGACGGCCCCATCGGGGCTATCAACATGACACACGGGCCTGTCAGGGTCATGCCTGTTCGCTTTTGGCCCAGAGATCTCTGAATCGCTCTGGCCACAGTCGGGCTAGAGAGGCGTGAGAGGGAGAGAAAGCCGCAGAAGGATTCACGAGAAGGACAAGAGCAGGTTCCGACAGCGCGGCAACCGTGGGGCGAGGCGAGGCGAGCAACACACATACCCAAGACATTTTCTTCGTCCAAACTTGCCCCCCTTCACCACGCAGTACTCCATACAGAGTACTAGACGAACAACGCCCGCCCGCCTGCTGCGAATCTCGTTGCTCACTCTCCTCGGCAAGGGTTGTGGAAGTAAGGTACACCGCGAACCCCACTCCCCTCGTTACAAATTGCCCTCTGCAATCAAAAGGAGGGACTGCAGACACCACCCCGGGCTCCACCTGTGCGTCCCCGTCTTGCGTACCTGCGTGATGTTGCTACGACTTAGCAGCCTTGGCAAAGAACTACACCTAGTGTACTCTGTGCTATCCACCTTTTTCCAGTGAGGCGGAACTTTTGGCGTGTCTCATGTTTTTTTTGCTCTCGTTCGTTCGTTAGTTCTGCTGACCCTTTTGCGTAGTGTTGCATGCCATGGAATTTCCGAAAGGAGGGAGGGATTGCGTTGCGTCGTCACATCACAGGGGAAACCTGATAATCCATCCTACGAATACGGTTCCTAGCCATTATTCGATTGGCGATTCTCTCACTGTGAGTTTCTCCCCAATGCTTCACCGCAAAGCGTAACGCTGTCCGCGGCCATACAACGACACACGCCCAAGGAGGAAACCAAGTGAGTGGATTGCGGCAGTTGGGCCCTGGAAACCAAAACAGACGTTTGCAAGGGACGACAACAACGGACGTTCTGTTGAATGACAGGACCGCAGGAGTATGGCACACATGAACCGCCAAGAAATCCAGATGCTGTCTGTCCCTGGCTCGCGCGTGCGGCAGTTGGGCACTTCGTACGTACGCACGCACGCACGCACGTAACGCACGCACACACAGTTGGGTAGCCCGACCAACAACAGCACCCTTCTCTCTTAGGCTGCTTGTCTGACCTGCAGTGCAGCAGTCTGCAGAAACAGGGAGCTGCGTGTGGCGTATGTGTGTGTGTGTGTGTGATTTGTACGCGGGGGGGAGAGACATATTCGTAGGCAGGACGTAGTAGAGGAGAGCATGGATGGATGCTGCAGCACCGGGACGACTTGCCTTTGTCTTTCCCAGCCCCCTTCCTCACATGGCAATCTAGATTTCGCATCGCAGCTGCCCTCATCTCGTGGTGGTGGTGGTCGCGGCGGCGGCTTAGTACCTATGAAAGGTATGCGGTGGTGCGGCGACGTTGCGATGGGAAAGCTATCCCGGACAATGCGGCTGCGGCTAATGGTGCTGCGGCGGCGGAAGCGGAAGCGGGAACTGAGTCACGACGTCAGACGCCGGCCGCCGTCTGCACTGAACCCTACCGAGCCGCAAGCTGCTGCGGTTGAGAGAGAGAGAGAGAGAGAGAGAGACCAAGGAAGTGGCGGTCTTCTATTTTCCCTGTTTGACGCCCGCTTCTCGGGTCTGCCCCCGTACGACAGGCACCACCACATGTCTCTGTGGGCAGCAGGAATCAGATACCAAGGTACAAGAGGCACACCACCATCACCACCGCATAGTCGCAGCGTGCTTGTTGCTTGCAGCTTCACTCTACTCCATGCGCACAAGAGGGCAGAAAATAGCATCACTCGGTCCACACCAACGCCATCTTCTGTAGACAGACGGGGGTTTGGGTTGGCATCAGCAGCACGGGCAAGGGTTTGTGTTGGTGGTTGGTTGGCCTGTGCCAGGTCGACGTTGGAACGGAGAGCCGCAGCTGGGGTGAGTGTGAGTGGGCGAGTGAAGGCAGCTAGCCGCGATGGGCTGCGGCTGCGAGAATTCAGCTGCGGTTTCGGGAAAGGTGCTGTAGTGTTGTGTTGTTTCGAAAGGAAGTTCAATGAAAGGAGCGCATGCGTCAGCCGCCTGAAGCAGCAACATCGTCGGGGGATGGAATCGGGGACGTCTGCCGATGACGATGGCTTGCAACCCTGCTTCGTCGCCGAGGTGTTGTGTTGTGTTGCATCGCGTCAAAGACGTGTTGCGGCGCTCCCGCGGCCGTTGCTTTCGGCGGCATGGTCGACGACGGCATGGGGCAGGAAAGCAGCTCAGGACAGCGACATGAACATGGATCACGATCCGCAACGGTTGCATTATCCCAACGGGTGGATAATCTGTGATCTTGCAACGCCAACGACTTCTTCGGCCTCGTCCTTGAGCGTTTTCTTCGTCCGTCCGTGGAGTGGGTCATCTTTCTCTTTCGGCGGCGGCTATGAATAGGACCATAGGGTTGCAGTGGCATCGGATTCGCCTTTTCATTCCCATTTTGAGGTGAGGAGACCCCGAAGGGCAGCAAGGTACCCAGGGTAGGGTAGGGACCCCTTCCACGGTGACGATGGATTCATCGCATCCTGAGATCAACACTAGGACGAAAGAGAAAAAATGAGTGTCTTGGTCTCCACGTTTGGCAGAGTCAAGGCGGTGGAGATGCAGATGCTCACGCACTCGTGACTCTGGGCAGATGGTGGTGGGAGAGCTGGCTGTGCTTCTTGTTGGTTTGAACTCGCGCAAAGCTTCCTCAAGTTCAGGTCCGCTTGCACGTGTGTGGCTTGGTGGCCTTTTTCAACATACTCTCCGCCACGTTTGTTGATGCTCGGTCTGGATGATGGTCTTTGGGGCTCATGGTAAACCGCGTCTTAATCTTCTCAAAGTTGTCTCCTTCGAAGAGGGACTGTGCTGTCAGAAACAGGGATCGCCGGGTGGCCTGTGGGGTGCACAAAGTTTCTTCGGGCTCTCTTTCGCATCATGCTGCCCTCGAACGTCCCGTCAGGCAGCGGCAGCGGCAGCGCTGGCGCTGTCAAGCGGCGGGTGGTGTTCTGTTCTGTGTCAGGCCTGGCGTCCACGTCGGCGCTGGCTGGCGGCCGGTCACCTTGTCACACCAGTGACGGGACGAGCAGGTCGGGCGCCGGTTGGTTGGTGCGGCTGCAAGGGCGAACAGGGCTCACCCACGACAAGCCTCTGCGAGTGCCGGCCCTGTTACCTGTTAGTGCTTCCCCCCAACTTTTCCAAGCAGGAGGGAAGTGAAGGGGAAGAAATGGGGTGGTCACTGGTCCAGGAACGGACCTTTGTGGTACCATTACCATGTTCGATTCGACGGTGACGGCAATGGCGAATGCTGATTCTCGCCGTTCCGTTCGATGGGATGGCACCGTAGCGTTGCAAAGGGACCCTTCCAGGGGGTTAGAGAGCTACATAGTACAGAGGAGCAGACGGGGGGAGAGGCTCCTCGGTGTGATGGATCGTGGATACGCTGCAAAATTCCCAGTACCTGGGTGACCGAGACGGCGGCGCCTATCTGTGCCTATCGCAGAAGTGTCTTCCGTTCCTGGCGCCAGCCAGCAGCATCAGCCAGCACAATAGTGCCAGCAGAGCCCGAGCGCGGCTCCGTCACCATCACCATGACAAGACGGAGCGGCACCCTTTCACAACCCAGCCAGCAGCCAGCGTTCCTGTGGAGACGCAGGGAGACGGCCGAAGACGAGATGAGAAGAGGACATCGAGAGGATTTCAAGGGGACCCAAACACCGCTGGTCCATGGCCGCCAAGACTTTTCTGCGCGGGTTTTTGGCAAATGCGGTGTGCGGATAACGCTACGCTGTCGGTGGTCACTGGTCGTCCTCGTCGTCGGCCGTCCACTCAACACAGTCACGCTCATGATTTGATTTTTTTGGTGAAGAAGAGCGACGAGTTTGGACATGGATGCAACCCAGGACGAGGACCACCCGCGCGACTGGAGTGCGGTGGAAAGCAGCCCAAACCAAATGAGGCAATTCGAGAGAAGGCACCCCTGGCGCAGCAATGGTGCGGTGCGGGATGCGGATGCGGATATCTCGCCAGCAGAAAACGGCAGAATCAAGGGGCGGCTCATCCTGGAGAGATCCAGAGACAGAGAGCATCGGCCAGTGGGCAGCAAAAGTAAAATTCCCCTTGAAGCCGAGCCGAGCACCTCGTGCAAAGGAAGGAGGAAAAAAGGGGTCCGAACCTTNAGTAAAATTCACCTTGAAGCCGAGCCGAGCACCTCGTGCAAAGGAAGGAGGAAAAAAGGGGGCCGAACCTTGCGCGGGAAGTTTACTTTTGCGTGCATCTGCTCACCCTCTGCGCGGTATCGGACGTGACGGCGATGGTTTCGGGAGATATTGGCCAGCAAACTTTCTCTCGTCTTCTTCTTGTCTCCCTTGGCCTGAGAATCGAATCCTAGCGGGAGCGGTCTGGACGCCATCGAACGGACACGGCACGGCAGGTTGCTCGAAATCAAGGACGTTGGGTCGCAAGGCCCGCCGCAGGCAGAAGAAAGGGCCACTGCCGGTGCTTCACATGGACGGGATCCGGGACATGGTGCGATCTTGATAATTACGGAACCTGCTGGATCGCTATGCCGTACCGTCTTTCTGTTGCACCGGGTTTTCTCGCGGGCTGTCCTCGCAACAACAGAGCAGCAGCAGCAGCTTCTCCGCAAAAGACAGGCATGGTCTTACGTATCCGTCAACCCACCTATCCGTACCGCGCGCCGGAATCGTCCAGAGTGGTATTCGGTCGTCGGCGGTGATGCTCCGTTGCAATGGGCGTGTCCCTTCCCGACCCCGGCTCGCCGTTGCAACGCCGCTGCCGGGTTGAGGTTCGCATGCCTGCATCGAATCCGGCTAGGGGGACGGTATGCAGTTATGCAGATATGCAGATGTGTATGTATCCGGGGAACTGAATTTGTCGGTCCGACATTGCTAAGCCGCTTACAGAGGTAATCC